TCTGAGGGTCTGTTTGTTTGTTTGTGAGTGGAGAGGGGCTGGTGGGCGGCAGAGGGTAAGTAAGTAATAAAAAGCAAGTAATAAGTGAATTAATAAGTAATACAAGAGATAAAGTGTGAATATCTTTAACAGCAAGGTTGTCTGCAGGATGCAGCACTTTGGGAGGGAAACAGAGATTGGTATTGATTAGCTGCATGTTGAAACCAGCCATTAAACCAATCTCAAGAAGCAACAATTAGCTCAGCACTGGGCCTAACGCCGCCTCAGATATCCATCTTTATAAAACTGAAGCATCTGCGCTGGCGTTTCGTAGCAGCACAGAAACTTTTGGAAAGTTCTCTCCTCATGGCAGCAAATCAGGATTGAATATTGTGCCCTGAGCGTCGGCAGGGACTCTGCAGCGATGAGCGCGCACGCACACACACATACACACACACACACGTCTGTGTAGAATGATAGCGACACTTTGCATATCAACACACTGGCACAGAAGTGTGTATGACTCAGCCCTCTGTCCCCACTGAGTCGGATAGAAGGCGGGCTGCATTAAATCAGGGAACATATACACAGGCGTAAACACAATGTCAGTGTTTCCCACATTCCAAATTACAAGGACTAACTGTGCGCACACAGAAACGCACACCTTTATACATTCCCGAGGTTGTGTTCACAAACACAAACGTACACTCCGAGTCGCAGCCAGATTTTCTAATTAAAGGCACGGTCACAAGAGATGACTTAAAACATGGAAGCTATGTACTTCACTAATGAACTTCTCTATCTGGTCTGTGTGTCTCGCCCGCTCTCTCTTTCCTTCACTCGTTTTTTCGGTCAATATCCGCCTGGAGGTCAGGCCATTAGAATGTAAGGCACCGCGGCTGTTTGATGAAGGCTGTGTGGGTGTTGTATATGTCCAACAAAGGCCTTCCTTATGTGTGCTTGTTATGGGTATTTGGGTTCCATAGATGCAGAGCCAGGATGGAAAGTTTGCTTTTTCTCCCTGTATTACATTTTTTTTTTTTTTTTTTTTTTACATTTTTTATGCAGCATGAATCTCCCGAGGACGAAATAGCAAACGAACAGCATATCAGTGTCAATATTAGATACCTGTTTCCAGTGCAGCCAGTAAACACAGATAAACGACAGCACTATGTCGCACTTTGGTTGCACATCCTGAAGGATTGTGCTCACTCGGGTGCACGATTTTTGTCCGTTGCCTTTTGTGTATATGTGTCTGTGTATGTGTGTGAATCCATATCCTTGTTTATGTGTGCCCAGGTTTGTACTCTGAGGTGTGTGTAGCTTATCTAGCATTAAGGTCCAGTGAGCATGATGATGTCTTTAAGTTTTGTCCTCATTCTGTCCAGAGTTCTTATCTTTTCTCTGGCAGTTGGTGGCATTTTTTTCTTCTTCTTCCTCTTTAGCTGATATATTCTTCATTTTCAACTTTTGGTCTCTTTGCAAAGGTCAGATTCAGCAGGATCATTTGGGTGTTGACTCTGTAGTTCAGAGCAAGAAAGCACCCCATTGCTCTATGTGACTTTAAAGTGAGAAGGCACATCCATCAAATGTTTTTATATCATTTCTGTTCAGTTTTTTTTTTTTTTTTTTTTTTTTTCTCTCTCTCTCTTGGTTTCCTCTGTCAGCTGTAGAAAGTTCAGTTCAGGCACTGATGTCTTCTCAGAGGCACTACTTTGTGGATATTATCTGTCTGCTTGTCAGTCTTCCTGCGCTGTCATGGGTTGTCACCAAAGAACACAAGTGGATTTAACAAAGGATGAAGATGAATGTATCATGTTCCACTTGCCTTTTTCTTCACTTTTCCCTTCCCAGCTGTTTATCCCTTAAAATGAACATCTTTAGATCATGACACTTATTTTTGGAAAGTCGTGGAATAATCATAGAACTCCACATGAACACCATGATGAGACTCATGTCAGTTCTTCTTCCACCTACATTGTTGCTTCACCGTCCATTTGGCATTACATTTACACCTTCCTCTCTGTCTTCTCTGCAGTGATCCCCGTTACCAGGGGTTGCGTAAGGAGCACCAGCAACCCCGCGCCGCTCCGGTCTACGAGGAGCTGGACGCCGCGCGACGCCGAGTCCTGGAGAACGACCCGCACCGGGTGAGTGAGCGTGCGTGACTGTGAGAGTGTAGGCCAGAAATGGTTTTCGGTACCGGGGGGAATAAGTCTGAACATCCATAAAAATTCTTTTCAGTGACGAGTTCCGCTGCAAGAGGAGAGTTTAAAAGATTAAAATGTTAAATGAAGGGAATACATGTGTTTGTGTACTTGCCTCCAGAGCACTCCAGTGCTCCTGTTTGCCCAGCTTGTTTTTCCCCTGTGCCTCTCTCGGTCTATTTTCAGCTCTCTTGTTAACATTTTGAGGTGCCGTGTGCCACCGAGGCGGCGCCCGCTCTCCTGCTCATTTAGTTTATGGAGAGATCTATTAGACCGGTGACATTTCCATCCACCTTCTCTTTCAGCTCTATACCACAACCGTCTCTCTTTCTTTCCCTCTCATCCTATCGCTTTCTCATTTTTCCTCTTCCCCTCTGATAGTGTTGTCTGGTCCTAACTCGCACTATCCTCTTTCTCTTTCTTGTTTTGTAAAGAGCAACAATGGTCTGAAATGACTCACTGTAGCTGCCTCTCCTAACCAAGCTGCACTTCTAAATGTCCCTGAACCTGAATTGATCCAGCCTGAGGAATCATTTCATTTACCTCCATACACTCCCGAACTCAGCATACTCGCCATGGAAATCAATAGCCATTTATCAGCCATTTTAAAATGGGATTTCTTTAATAGCGAGGCCAAGGATGCAGAAAATCACACTTTGATCTGAATCAGAATCACTGAATCTGGCCGTTTCCTCAGAGCTAGATTTATTTTTCATTAAATGACACAACTGAGCAAAGAGAGAAGCAGAGGCATCTGGGAAATATGCAATGGATTTACCAACGGCCTCGCCGATACCAAATCACCTACCACAACCTGCCTCCTGCTGTGCTCGCTTCCTCGCTTATTGTAGTCTCTGTTTATTGAGCAATGAAGCCCTGAGTCTTCATTAGGCGCTCACAGACACACGCCACATTTGCTTTCTTTGAGGCCTGAAGGGCTTCGTCACTCATTACACGTCCCTGTGGAGCATGTGTTTCTGCCCCGGTTCGCCGTGACTCAGTCAGAACCCAAACTCTGATGCAATTAAAGCGCAGCGAGTGTGAGGCGCGACCTCTGATCTGATTGTTATTTTTCTCCCGAAAAAGACAGCGGTGTCCACGGTAAAAACCAGCGGTGGGTTCCTCTCCTGAGGAGCCTGATAATGAAACACCCCGCTCACAATCACACACACACACTCACACACGTACACAGTGAGAATAGAAACACTGAAACAGTAAAACATCCGGGAAGGTACAAAAAAAAGACAAGAGATGATAATGGAATGTCAAAACACAGCAGGGTGGCTCACAAATGACTCAGAAAGAATATTTTTAGTCAAACAATATAATATATATGTGTGTGTGTGTGTGTGTGTGTGTGTGTGTGTGTGTGTGTGTGTGTGTGTGTGTGTGTGTGTGTGTGACGAGTTTGATAACAAGCTTGTAAAACCTATTGTTTCTGAGTGTTCAGGTGTAATTGAAGGCAACCTAGATGAGGTATCAGCATTTATATTATGTCCTGTAAATGACATAAATGAAGAAAATTAAAAAAAAAGCACAGAAAAGACTCATGTGCAACAAACACACACACACACACACACACACACACACACACACACACACACACACACAGAGAGAGAGATGACCACCAAGAGAATAAGCAGGGACATGAATAGACTGACTTCTGACCACAGTCTGAGCTTTTATCCTCACGTTTGTTTATGTCTGCTAAGGTTCATGTGTTACCCAGAATCCTCTGCCTCTTCAAATGAGAAGGGCACACTTTTATCTCTGACACATGGTGGTAAGCCTCCAAGATTTCTTCAAGAATTACTTTAGTTTTTAGGGTACCCAAGAAGCTTTCTCCAGGAAATAAAAACATGATTTATAGCACTCTCAGAAATCCTTTATAGCTGATCTAAATGTTTCCTTTAACTTCCCTCAGTATGCCGATTAAAAAAAAACAAAAAAACATCTGTGGGAATAAAAGAAGTCATAATTGAATGCTGTTTATTTTGTTGGTGGTTCACATTCAGGTGCAAACAAACCGGAGTTAACACCTTTTGATTCACCAGGACATTACTCCACACACATTTACCTATTTCCCCCCCTCCGTGTGTGGCATGAGAGGAGCGTAAAAGCAGACCACTTGAGCACGGCGCCCACCCCGCTCACTCGTTTCAGCCTTATGTGATCGACCTTTTAGCCGCCGCCGCCACCATCACCACGCCGCGCTGCTCTTTTCATGCTCAGCCATTTCTGCGGCCTTGAATGGTTAAAAAGGTTTTTACCAAGCTCTCCACACAAGGCCAGGAGCGCCGTTCTTCCTCTCTGAGTGGTTTGTATGCGTTTGAAAGAGAAGATGAGTGTGTGCGTGTGTCTCCAATTGCTCTGCTGAGCGAGAGGATGTTGGGTAACACACTAACCTGAGCTGACATAAACAAAAGCGGGGATTAAAGTCTGAGATATCTATTTATGTCCCTGTGTATTCTCTCGGCGGTCACCGATCTACATGTAGAGGTGGAGATGTCTGTGTGGGTGTGTGTGTTGCTGGCTTTTAGCTTGTGTGTGTGTGTGTGTGTGTGTGTGTGTGTGTGTCTGTGTGTGTGTGTGTGTGTGTGTGTGTGTGTGTGTGTGCGCACACAGCTGAATCTGGTCTTTAGAGAGAACTTCATGTCCCTTTCTCATTTCTTTCCTCTGACCCCTCTCCCCCTGTGTCTCTTGTCTGTCTATCTGTCTCTAATTTGACCCATCCCCCGTGTTCCCTGTCTGCGGATAGGTCACACTTGTAATTATGACAATCACACTGTCCCTCTCTCTCTGTCTGTTTTCCCTATATGCTAATGATAGGCTCTCTGTAATGTCTTGATGGCCAATTAAGCTGTAAAAGTACATGAGCCGTCTCTTTTTATAGACTTTGTTCTATAAGGCAAGTCGGGAATTACTTTTGAGATGAGACACCACATCGTTGTTATAGAGACTGATCTTGATGGAGTTTTAACTCAATAGTTGAATAAATTACAACCATATTTGAATTATTCACCTTTGAAAGAGACTCTCCAGTGAGAGGGCGAGATATCCTGTTTTTTAATCTCTAAAGGTCCATAAATGTTGGATCCTACATTTCCCATAATGCAGCCGGTAATATCTTTTCAACTGCACAGACTGGGGGTTATTTTCTCAGATACTTTCAGAATAGAGGTCTTTAGAGGTCCGCTCAGTTTCTAGTACCACAGAACTGACCTGGGGCACAAACTGGAATAAGTCCAAACTATATATCGTCTAATCGGGTCAGGTAAGGCCCTGTCGGATTGCCGTGGGTCATGAGCTTATATGTCTAATACACACGTGGAGCTCAGCGGAGGAGCCTTAAGCTCTGATCATATCAGTGCAGTAGAAAAATGACACGTCGCCTCTGTCTTTCACCGCAGCTGCTTAACTAGTGGCATCCTACTGCTGCCAGTGTTTGTTCTCTCTCAATTAGGTTTGTTCGGAGCGACTGCATTCTGAATCAGATCTTACCGTCCATGGTTGTATTCGAACCGGGGCTGACAGGCTTCTGGTTCCTTTTAGATTGGGGCTGTCTCTTGGAAAATGACTCTACACACTTTGATTTTCCGTGAGTCTCTTTTGGATCAAGTGCAAAAGGACCTCTATATCGGGTTATTTTCTCAGACTTGACAGAAGCCGTATCCAACTGATTTCACAGGCCGAGTGCTTCTGCTCGTTGCTGATCTTCATGTATAAAACTTGTGGAGTTCCCTTTGAAATTATGTTCAGTTCCAGATGTTTACATTATCTGCCAAATAGAAGGATGTTGATTATCTTTCCAGTCATTTGGCTGTTTTTCTATTATGAATTTCTGAACACAGTGTCATTCATCTTTAAAGGTTCCTTGAGGGTTCTGTGGGGTTTCTTTTACCCTGAAGGAAAACACCAAATTATCCCACTCATATATTCATGGTTTCATTCTTTCATTCATTCACTGTTGGCCCATTTGCCCCCTAGTGGTTGTTATCGGACATCCCACTGTCTACAGCTGACACACTGACCAGGATCACTCATTCACCTCCAGTCAACATCAACTACACCATGTGTCTTTGTGTCCTCCAGTCCTGATTGCATGTCATTACATGTTTATTATAATGTAAGACTACTTCATGTGTATTATAGCAGCTGACCATGCATAACATGGTCAGCTGAAATGAGAGAAGCCACCATAAACCAGAATCTTGTTTACCCAGTGTGACAAAGACACACAAGCTCACAGTATGGGAGGAACACACACACACACACACACACACACGAACTCATGCATCTTATCTTCAACTCATTACCCTGTGAATCGTAAACAACACTGGCAGCATGTGACGCCTTAATGAACACAGAAGTCACAGAAAACCACACACACAACTACACACTCGGAGTCATTATAAGACACACAGAGAGAGAGAGACACTCACAAGTCCAGATACGACTTGTCATCCGTTGCGCAGCTGTTTTTTGTACTTCTCTCTAATGTTGTGTGTGCGGACATCCATCACCTTGATGATATTTTAATGTCACATCCTCAGGCTGTCTCAATCTCTCCCCCTCTCTCACTTTTTCTCTCCCTCCCACACGTCGGCCATCACTTCATAAATAAACCCCCACATCATTAAGTAAACACGCACCAGCCTGTCACGGTGATAGATAGCCTACACACACACACACACACACACACACACACACACATATGCAGGCGCTGGTGATCTGCGCGGGGTGCTTCATGCCCACAGGCAAAAGCCCGGATGGTTTTTTGCGCCCCCAGCCCTAATGAATGCGCACGTATTCATCTGTGAACTTGCACTGACTGAAAACCGCGATTTCAGCGTTAGAAAGAAAGTCAGAAAGTTATTGTAAACAGCACATTTACAAATGGGGTGGTAACACGCTTCGAAATGTGTCCGCAGGCCCTTTGTGGT